CTTCTCTACTGTTGATAATTTCTACATTTATGTTATATGATGTTCATATTTTTGTAAGAATTTTTATATCTTTAATACTTAGTGACTTAAACGTATGACCATAATGAAACATTATTCATATTTTACTCAGAAATGTTGCATTATATTCTAGATGACTTTTCTTTAATTTTCCTAAAGGAGTTAAGAGAGAGAATTGAATGTAATTCTTGGATAGTATAGTCCCACTAATATAAAATACATTTGAATGAAATATAAAACAGTCATGATTTTTATCCTGAGTGTTACAAATCGATTAAGCATTTTTAACACAGTAAGGTATAAATAGGAAATACTTAGATCTTTCTCTGATCACTACTCTGAGTTATGCTGTCTTAAATATTCTTTAACCATTGGGTAGCAGATCTTTTAATGTTGTCTTAGGTGTTGCTACTTGGCCAGGTTATTGTGGTTTTTAAGTGTCTGATCCATTTAAAAACGTGAATAACATATGACATTTAAAACATTCTTCCCCCATTGCCTGCTAACATTTGCTGCTGGGGAATTAGTGCAAGTAGAGGTGTTACTTTTCTTTCTCTCTCCACTATTTCATTTATTCTGTGAACATTGTAGTCTTAAAAGGCCTTGTCCTTCCAATTCTGCTTTTAAAGACTGGGCTCCCTGGATTGGGAGTTTGGCAAAGTATCATCTCAAAGATCACTTCTAGGTGAAGTCCGTTAGTTTGCGTTGCCGTCAGCTTCTTGTAGAACATGAGGAACTACAACCTGTCCATCCTCAGTTGAGAACTGATTAAGCGACAATAAGGAAAGCCTCACTACAGATGCTGAAGTATTTATTATTACTGTTTTTTTTTCTTCTATGAAGAATGAAGAATACATTTTAACTTCAGAAATTCACTGACATTAACCTTATCATTCCTATGGTAGCCCAAACCAAATTCAAGGGGAAATGTCTTTATTCCTTTGTTAGAATTAGTTTTATACCAAATTCAAGGGGAAATGTCTTTATTCCTTTGTTAGAATTAGTTTTATACCAGGGAAAGTAAATTCAGCTACATACTGAACCTGGAAATATTGGGGTACTAATCAGTATATCCACGTACACCGTGATAGCTCTTTCTCACTGTTAGACATATGGTTCAATTACCAACAATTAATTAACTACCCAACAATTCCAGAGGATCATAGAATACATTCATATTGGTAGGATGAATGGGATAAATGTTGATGGGATCTTCAATTCTGCCTAAGCCATTCATTTTCCTGAACATGCTGCGACATAATGACTGTATCTTTTGGCTTAGATATTAAATATATATGCCTTGCATTGCCCCATCTTCCTTCACACCAAACCTTACCTATCCCCCTGCTTTAAAAAAATTCTATATGTAAATATAATAGAAGGGAAAGTTTTACATTATTCAACTTATCTTCTTTATATCTTGAATTTTAGATATTTCCATCAAAAATTATGCCCCAAAACAATTCTATTTTGAACTCTTGAAACAGAGAAAGAATATCCTATAGCTAACTTGATTCATTCATGTTGTTTCTATCCATTCATCATCTGTCTATACTGATGTACTTATTATGAATTATGAATCTTTATATCACAGTATTATTAGTATGTATAAGTTAATGGTTTGGCTAACAAACCTATCCTCTTGAAGATGTATTTTGAGCTAAGTTTCCATGGAGCGGGATTTTAATAGTCCTTTTGTGTGCTTTGAAACTGTTATAGAATATATAAATATATGCATAATTATTTTCAATCTAAGCAGAGACCCCTAAAATTCTTATCTTGATTCTAAAGATCACTTTTTAAGATAATTTTGACATTAATATTTAAAGCTTTCAATTTTATGTTAGTTGAATAAAATAAGATAAAATGTTTGACCAAAGGAAAATATTTGCTAAAGAAATAAGGTTCCTTTTTTTAATTTGTTCCTTAAAAAAATTGTACTTATAGGGTATTTTACTTCATTTTCAGAGCATCACCACTTACAAGATAACCTGAAACTTCCCATTAACATCTGCCCAGAGCATCTTAGACCTTTGTGTCCAAATTTTTATAAAATCTTAAAATAACTGCAGTGAAATCATTTTAGTCATACAACCTAGGATGAGATTTTGTTTCAATAGATTTTCTTCAGTAAATCAGAATGAAAATTATTCAGCTTTGAGACTAGTTCTATAGATATATTTTTTAAGTGAATCAATAACAAATAACTTTGCCACCATAACTGCTGGCAACATTACTATCAATTTAACTTGAATTTAGTGGAGAGACTTTATAAAACTAGATTCTCTAAGCCAACAGAAGATCTGACAAAATGATGGAAGTCACTGCCATATTATAGGTAATCTTCAGTGATCCTTAGATTCTGAATTATTATATATTATTTATGATATTCTGGGAACAAAATTAATGAGTGGTTCTTTGTCATGGATTTCTATATTAAACATGAACTGGTGATTCTTATAGCTAAAAGAGACGTATTACATGCTTTCCTAATTATTGCATGGGCTAAGCAGCTGTAAAAGAAAATACTCTAAAATATAGTAGCTTAAATTGGTTATATAAACTTGGTTTTAATCTAATACCATGGCTCCACATCAAAAGCAGCTTGCATTTCTGGGTCTGAGGCTCTGTTGTCATTTTCTCCTAACAAAGGGGAAGGAAAAAAATGGTCAAGAGGAGCCCTATTCCAGTCCTTTAATTGGCAAGACCCAGAAAATGTCACAATTCACTTCTGTTCACATCCCAGTGGACACTACTTAAACGCATGACTATAGTTAACTGTAAGTGAGGCAGGAATTACAGTCTTTGTTCTTGAGTGGAACAACTGGCGTTTTCCCACAACTGCTCACAAAAACTGCTGAATTGTACCCTTTTTTTGCTATTTCACATTAATGGCAAAACATCTCACTCCAGCAATTACAGTACAAGTTTTGTATTTTTTTTTTTTTTGAAACATTTAGATAGCTCAGTACAATTTTGTACAGCATGTTTGGACATGTTCCTATAGGCTAACCTTTGGAACTTTCTTTACTCAATATCCTACTATATACAAATTAAGGTAGAAATAGTTATTCAGTCATGAACTTGGAGTAACAGATGGAGTAGACTGATGCCATGGGAATGCAGATGCTGAAATCAATATCATTCTATGACGTTCTATAACTTTTCAATATTGATGTAAGTACAAGATTTTCTTTCTAGGGGGGCACCTGGGTGGCTCAGTGGGTTAAGCCTCTGCCTTCGGCTCAGGTCATGATCTCAGGGTCCTGGGATCAAGCCCCGCATCGGGCTCTGTGCTCAGTGGGGAGCCTGCTTCCCCCTCTCTCTCTGCCTGCCTCTCTGCCTACTTGTGATCTCTGTCTGTCAAATAAATAAATAAAATTTAAAAAAAAAAAAAGATTTTCTTTCTAGGAACACTTCACAACTGTTATATATGAGCAATTCTTAGAAATTCTCCTCTGTTTACCTTTCACACATCCATGGCATTATTTAAATATCACTTGAAATTCCATTTTCTGGCTCAAAACCCTCTTTGAATGTCCTAGTCTAGCGACGTCCAGTAGAACTTTCTGTGAACACAGAAATGTTCTAGAACTACACTGTCCAATATGACAGCTACTGAAGCTTTTGAGTGCTTGTAATGTGACTGGTGTGACTAAGGAACTGAATTTTAAACTTTATTGCATTTTAAAGAATTTAAATTGAAATAAGCCCACGGGCCAGTAGCCACCATATTAGACGGCACAGTTAGTCATTCCCTGCTCCCTTTACAAGCCCATGTCTGCCACATTTATTTTGCTGCATAATATGGCTCCTGAAGTGTCCTCAAATGAATTTAACTACTCAACATCTATTATTTAGTGGTTTATTCTTTGGGTGACAGATTCTATCTTTTCAGCTCAACTTTACTCGTGCTTTAAATAGTCTAACAATAACAATATAATCTTTACTGGACATAAAACATGTCAGGCACTGTTCTAAGCACTTTATACATAATATATAATTTCATTATGACAAGGAACCTATGTATAATTATCACCACTTCATAGTTGTGCGAACTGACGCATCCATGGGTTAACTAATTTGTTGCCTTTAGCTAGTTAAGTGACTGATCGAGGATGTGAATTCCAGGCCAACTGTTTTAAATCCCAGGCTCTCCCTCCATTCTTTACTCTTTCGTCATTTTGTAGAGTGAGGTTTCTCTTCAGTAGTTCTCTTTATTCAAAAATACATCATATTTGGGGTCGAAGAGCTCTATTTGTGTATGTGTAATATTAGAAACTATTGCCCCTAGCAAGAAGGAAGAGAAAAGAACAGTTTCCCTTCCTTTCTGTTCTACAAAATAAATTAGTTAATGTAAGGGATAATGAACAGATGCTGTATGTTTGCTTCTATTACTACAAAATATTATTCAGATTTTGTTCATAGTACACTAACAGAAGGAATTTTAAAGTAGTCAGGATCGATTATTTTCAAAGGGCTATAGTGTTCAGATTTAACGCAGGTCAATCATCTGCAAGTTAAAATTACTTAGAAACGAACTGTCCATAATTAAGTAATCTTACCCACTAATATTACAGAATAAGGATACCTTTAGGTGACATGAAATCTGTCATTTTAAGTATGCCCCCAAGCCTTTTCCAGATTGCTCATAAGATTTCTCATTCTCTGGAGAAATGCGATCTCTAAGAAATAAATGTCTCTGTCATGTCGCAAGTAATATGAGCTCATGATGAAAAAATGGAATTTTTTAGTCTCATAAGGGATATTGCAGTATTGTAAAATTGATTTTATTTCTTGTTATGTGAGTTCTCATGGTCATTTTAGGATTTACCTTCTGAATAAAAAGGGAAGGTTATGATGCCTTTTAGGGAGGTGGGGTACAGAGGCCTTTGGGGACCAGGAGAATATTTTTCATATGAAATCTTTGTCATAAAATGCTAATGTTGGTGTTCTTGTCTTTATGTCTATGCATTCTTTAGCTATGAGGATAACAGACCCTTCATCAAGTAAGAATGACCTGAATGGCTGATAAATTCCATTTATCAGTGTGGTCCCACGAACCAGCTGTCAGATCAGTACTGAAAAATCATTAGAGCTTCTGTCATTCACATTGAGGCAGAAGAGCAAACTGTGCAGGAAAATAATCAGGCATACAACTCGTATGCAGAATAAATATGCTGCAGGTGTATTGCCAAAAACAAATTGTGCTTCACCTCTTTTAATTGGGTATCACCTGAAATCAGTGCCACACTCGTAGCAACCTCATGTGGTACAGACTTGCTTCGCTTTGAATAGCCTTCTCCTTTCATTGTGATGCGTTCCTCTGTGCCTCATATGTCGTCATTTCTGTTGTTTGTTTGGACATCGCTCATCCAAAATTATTTTGTGACTTAGCCGTGTATCTTCTGAATGATCCTAGGAGTACGAAGCTACCCAATTGCAGTGGATATTAATGAATTTCTATTTTAAATATTCAAAAAGGGAAAAAAAAAGTCTCCTTCACAAATTCAATTCGACGTATGGAAAATTACCTTTCAATTTTGACACATCACTTGATTAATGACCTGTTTATGAATACATCTTTTAAATTTCTAAAACAAAGCTACAAGTCTGTACTAATCTAATAAGAATACACTCAAATGTTGATATTTGAGCTTTTTTCTTTTATACGTTTTAAAATTATGTGTCCTGCCACAATAAACTTAAGATTGGGGCAACCTATAGGTGACCTTACTCTAGACTTTCAGTTTGTTCTTCTGGTGAAGAGTCCTTTGTTTTCATTTTCTCCAATGACATTTCACTTACTTCTTCATGCTCTTGCTTATATATTTTTTCTTTAGAAATTGGGCTCATTGTAGTTTTTATATCATTAACTCTTTGGCCCATCACGTGCTTTCCAGTGGATACTAGCTGACTTGAGTATTTTATTCTATCATTTTATTTCTAAATTCAAATAGCAATTTTGCCTTGATTTAATGGTATTCTTTCCATTTTTCCTTTTTCCGATGCCTGTAAGAATCTGAGAGCTTTATCTTGAGAGTTCCCATATTTTTCAGTTAAGTTATAGAAAAAATATTAATATCTAAGATATTTTCTGATTCATATAAGCAAACATGCCACATACAATGGCAAGCTTCCTTTAGGGATTCTTTGTTCAACAACATTAACGTTTTTAAATTGAACATGTTAAATTTAGGGGATATTCGAATAGGCAACATAATAGCTGATGGTTATAGAAGAAAAACAGTAAATAGTCATGATGAATTTTAATAAGAATTTAATACTAATTGACTACTTTGGGACCATATCTTTCTTAAGACATAGTGCTCTCTGAAAACTTTACACGACCCAGCTTTGGATTTGGTGAATACGTGTGTGGTTTCTTCTAACCCCTTCATTTTGCGAAGTTTCAATCCCCATAAATATTTCTTCCTTAGACAATGCAAGTGGCGGAGTATGGTCTGCTGAAAAGAAATATTTACTCTTTCAAGGAAGGTGTGCTGGGAAAGGAAAGGGTGGGTTCATGACTATATAGAGATCTAGCCTGGTTTGGTCCTATTCTCCTATATACTTAGAAGGATTCCATTTTCACTTACTGGATTCCCATTTATTGGAAAGATTCACTTTATGTTGATAGTCAATACAGAACACACAGCCACAAATATATGGACTTTTGTCACCCGTTGATTACTATTGCGAATGGCAGCTGGAGGAAATGAAGGGAATGGAGAGTGAGAATTGTCTTCCATTCTAGCCTACTTTGTTCATACCACTCCATCCCATCCTCAGCTTCATTCTCTCCCTCAAGTTTACAGACCCTTCCAAGTGATGAAGGTGCCCTGAGCTTTTAAGCCTCTTTTCAGCAAAGCTGCCAGTTGCCTGATTTTCAAAGTCTAGTCCAACTTAACCTAGAAGACAACAATCCGAAGGCCAAAACAACACAGATTGTGATCTAGAGTGGAACATTTTTTTCCATCCACTGTATCACACTTGTTTTACATAACTATAGAATCAGACAAATAGAACTTTTAAAAATTCATACATATATTCCATATACTTGTTCCTTCGAATCCAAGCTCTTTTTTTGTCAGTAAGCACTAAAATTTGTATGGAAAAAGAGGAAATTTGGAAAAATGGGGTAAAAGTGTATCAGATGAAGTACTAATGGAGAGAGTCCAATCAAACAAATGTTATCATAACAATGAAGCCAGTGGAAACTAACATAGTTTTATAGACTTTTCCCCCTTGCCATTCACCATAATTACATCTCCATATCATTTGCATATGTGCTGCAAATACATGAATAATTTAATAGTACAAATCTGCTTTTGCTTAAATGAATTTCTGTGTTCATAACATTCTCATTCATGTATATCTCCTCAAGTTTGAAAACTTGTAGTCCCCATTAAAATCTTAAAGTTACTTATACCACCTGTCCTACATTTTCTGTCAATAAAACTTACCGTAACATTTTTTTCAGTGTCAGTATTGTTGATATGATATGATTGTGCTAATTAAAGACCAATCATTTGATAACCCTTAATTTTCTTTTCTCTCTACAGGTCATGGGTTATAGGTGCAATAGCTCTTCTCTGCCTATTAGGATTGACCTGGGCCTTCGGACTCATGTATATTAATGAAAGCACAGTCATCATGGCGTATCTCTTCACTATATTCAATTCTCTACAGGGAATGTTTATATTCATTTTCCATTGTGTCCTACAAAAGAAGGTAAGCAAAAATTCTCTATTCAAAATAGGAAAGCAACCATAACATAAATCATTCCTGATGTTTTTGTCTCTAAGAAATAAATATATCACTTCATTAATTTTATCTTTACAATAGCAAGACAAAACACACAAAACAGAAGCATAATAGTTGGTGAATGTGTTTAGCAGCAAAAAAAAAAAATCAGAGTATTTTCTGATTTGGATAATAAACAAAAATTATAATCTTATCGGCTTGACCTTATAGTCTTTAAAATTTTATTGACAGACACATGGAATTTATGTATTAGAAATAGCATTTCTAAGATGTTATGGAGCTGTGGGGTGGATATATATATATGTATATATATATATGCATAGAAAATATATATTTTTTCTCTTTTTCTTTAAAAAAAGTTCATATGTACTGGAAAATATGAATGTTTATCATTTAATGATAACATTTATGGTTTTTAAATGAATGATGACATACTTAGTAAGGGTCTCTGTACTTATCTTTAAAAGCATCTTTTATAAAATCTATGAGTTCGATGACTAGGATGCAATATTTAATTTTTCATGCTGGTCTATTTTTGTGATTTTTCACATTTACAAGGACCTAAAATATTCATTTTCAAAGTTAATCTTAGCCACTAAATACTTTCATTGCATTTTTTAGAAATTTCAAGATTGATTTTCTCATCTTATAATTTTTAACTCTATTAAAAATGTGGCCATTAGAGTTCCAATCACATAGACTCCTGAGCCAAGACTGTCTGGGTCTAAATCCTAGCTTCTCTGTTTAAAAGCTTATATGACTTTGGGCAAGTTAATTAACCTGCTCATGCCCCAGTTTCTTCATGTGTAACATGGAGGTAATAAAAATAATTATGAGATATTGAGAGGTGGCTCTGAAAGTGAAATGTCAAAATGTGAAAATTTCTTCTAAGAGAGAAACAACACTTAAAAGTTTTCTTTGGGAAACCAAAAAAAAAAAAAAAAAAGAGTAAAATATCTGTGTCTGTGATTTTTGATTTGAGAGACTCATAGGATCTAAAACAATACTTGAGACGGGTATCCACTTGTCCAGATGAGTCAGTCATGTTCCGTTTCAGTTGTATGTGGTGGTAGATATAAAAAATGTGTTGACATAATCATAAATAAGGCTAGAATAGTAACGATGACTGAGGCCTATAAATGTAGGTTACAGAAAAGTAAAGAGGTTGTAAGGGAATGGATGTATTCTAACCTATTGAATGAGAATTAATTTAGAAAAGAGGTTATATTTACAATGGATGAATCTTCCCAAATATTTAGTGCACACCTCCCCTAAAATTGCAGTTGCTTAACCACAAAATACTTATTATTATTATTTTTTTACTTATGTCCCAACTGATGGTGGTATCTCATGGAAGGACACAGACTGATGAAGTCTTAGCCAACCTTGGTATATGATTTCCATAGTCATCTTGAGTATTGACACCGAGCAGGCAGTCTGAGAAAGAGGGGATCTTGTGTACAAGGTCTGAAAGAGGCTTCCATCACTTCTACTCACCTTCCATCAGATAGGACACTATCAATGGTACCACCTAAACTGCAAGGAAGACTAGAAAACATAGTCTAGCTTTTTTACCTTGGGAAGATGAGGAATTAGGTGTTATAAACAGCTAGCAGTCTACCACACTTGAGGGATGTAAAGAGTAGGACATGTGAATAATGACTAGGAATAGAGATGGAAAAAGAAGTGTCCAAGGAACAAAATCAGGATCAAGATGATATACTGAATTAAAGATAGGAGAAAATGTCCAAAAGTAGTGAGCAGCCAATATCGTAAAACTTTTCAGAGAAGTGAGGGAGACTACGCCTTTGGGGAAAAAAATCTTCCGTATTTTGATAGAAGAAAGACATAACTCGTTGTCAAAAGAAATATATATAAAAAGATGAGAGCGAAATTGAAGATTAAGGGAAAAAGTAGCATTTGTCTGTATAAATAAGGGACTATTGGGCCATTAAGCAATTTTAACGACTTCAAGTATAGTGAACCAGATTTACCTATTATTTTTATTTTAATCATTAACTAGAAATTTGGGCTAACAAAATTTTAAATTTTAATGTTATATAGAAATTTTCTTTAAAGCAGAAAATACTTTTTGTATTTTATGTGTTAATTATTTTGATTTTGAGTATTTCTATTAGCCAATATCTTTTAGGTTTTCCCAATAATTATTTTTATTTTTCTTATCTTACAAACATACATGGCTAGTATAACTAGGGATTCCTTTTGATATACAGGAAAAGATATTAAACCTCAGGATCTAAAACCAAGTCTTGAGTTTTTAGTATATTTAACATACGTGAAAAATTTTTTTTAAATACATGTCATCAAGCTCAATTTTGTGATTCATTAGAACAGACGTCAGCAAACAACAGGTCATGGGTCAAATATATCTAGCTGCCTTTGATTTTTACAGTCATGCAGCCAAGAATGGTTTTTATATTTTTAAGTGGTTACATTTAAAATATAAAATTAAGTACATAAATAACATCCTTAGTTGCCTCTTGGTTGACAGAGCCTGAATATTGACTATCTGCCCCTTCATGAAAAAATTTACCAATCCCTGCTTTAGAAGCTTACTTTTATGATTTATAATAATGAATAATAAGCATATTATTCTTTCATTCATCTTATGTTTTGAATTTTCTAATTTTGGTGGCATTTTTATTGGGTGTCAAGAACATGGCCAACGTTAGGAAATATAGAAAACATGGAATTGTTTACCTTTATCCTTACAAAACAAACAGATGATTTTTTTTTTAAATTGCAGAAATGTCTTAGGAGATTTTTCTTTTATTCCTTTATTTAAATTGAGATATAAGTGACATATAATATTGTATAAGTTTAAGGCCTACAGTGTGTTAATTTGGTACACATTTATTATAAAATGATTACTACCATAATATTAGCTAATACTTCCATCAACACATGGTTACCATTTCTTTTTTTGTGGTGAGAACATTTAAGATCTCTCTTAGCAACTTTCAAGTATGTAATACAGGTTTGTTTACTATAATTATCCTCCTGTACATTAGTGCCTTAGAACTTACTCTTCTTATAGCTGGAAGTTTGTACCCTTTAGCCAGTATCCTCCCAATTCCTTTACTCCCAGTCTTGGGTAACCACCATTCAATTCTGGTTCTATGAGTTCAGCTCTTTGCCGAATGAGTGGTATCATACAGTATTTGTCTTTTTCTATCTGACTTATTTCACTTAGCATAATGCCCTCATTTCATCCATGTTGTCGAAAAGGGCTGGATTTCCTCCTTTCATGGCTGAACAATATTCCATTGTATGTATGTACCACATCTTCTTATTCTATTCACCCGTTGATGGACACATGGGTTGTTTCCATGTCTTGGCTATTGTGAATAATGCTGCAGTCAACATGGGAGTGCAGATAGATCTTTGAGATTCTGATTTCATTTCCTGGGGATGTATACCCAGAAGGGAGATTTCTGGATCATATGGCAGTTCTGTTTTTAATTTTATGAGGAAATTCCATACTGTTTCACATAATAGCTCTACCAATTTCCATTCCCCTCAACAGTGCACAAGGGCTCCCTTCTCTCCACATCCTTACCAATACTTGTTATCTCTTGTTTTCTTTAATTTTTTCTCGTCTTCTTGATGATAGCCATTCTGTCAGATGTGAAGTGGTATCTCATCGTGGTACTGGTTTGTATTTCCCTGCTCTGTGCTGTTGAGCGTCTTTTTATAATGGTCATTTTTATGTTTTCTTAAGAAACAGATCTATTCATTTTCTCTGTCCTTTCGTAATTACATTGTTTTGTTTTTTGCTATTGAGTTATATGAGTTCTTTATATATTTTGGATGTGAACCCCTTACAGAAATATGATTTGCAAATGTTTTCTTCCTTTCTGTAGATTGCCTTTTCATTCCGTTATTTATTTTGCTATGCACAAGCTTTTTATTTTGATGTAATCTGACTTATTAATTTTTGCTTCTGTTGCTTTTGTTTTTGATGTTATGTTCAAAAATCATTGCTAAGACCAGTGTCTAGGAACTTTTCCCTTATATTTTCTTTTAGGAGTTTTATCCTTTCTGATCAAATGTTTCTGTCCTTAATTCATTTTGAGTCAAGTTTTGTGAGTAGTGTAAGACAGGGTTCAATTTCATCCTTTTGCATGTAGTTATCTGGTTTTCCTAAAACTATTTATTGGAGAGATTGTCCTTTTCCTATCAAGTATTCTTGGCTCCCTCGTCAAATATTAGTTGACAGTAAATGTAAGCATTTATTTTGGGGCTGATTCTGTTCTCTTGGTCTGTGTGTCTATTTGTATAACAGCACCATACCGTTTTAATTACTGCAGCTTTGTAGTATAGTTTGAAAGCAAGAAGTGTAATGCCTACAGCTTTGTTTTCTCAGGATTACTTTGGCCTTTGGTGTGTGTGTGTGTGTGTGTGTGTGTGTGTAGTTCTGTACAAATGTTCTTTTTTCTGTATATGTGAAAAATACCATTGAAATTTTGAGAAACTGCATTGAATCTACAGATGATTTTGGGTAGTATGCACATTTTAACAATCTTAATTCTCTTAACAAGTTTTTCTTAAGCCATCTGATTGAATTTCCGTAATGTGCCCATGCTGACGTAGTTGCTCATATGTTTTGATTAGAGAAATATGAAATACTCCATTTTGAGATATGTTGCCTTATGGGGGTATTTGTTGATTGATTCAGCTCATTAATAAAAATCCAACTCTGTGTTATCAGTCCTATTCTGAGTGTCGATTGCATGATATGACCAATACCAGTATTTCTACTGGTGACATTCAATTTTATCACCTTTTCTTTTGTTATGCACTCAATTATAAACCTCACAGGATATCATAATTATTTCTGATCTGAGAGTATAAAAGAAATATTCCATTGATAAGGTAGAGTTTCTTTCCCATCTTCTATATTCTAGAACAATACTAAAACAATAAGATACCATATCTGGTTGTGGTAGGATGGATTATCGTGCGAAAAAGTGGATTAGAATATGTAAATGACTGATTGATCAAATAACTTTTATTTAATATATTCAGAGATACAGTCCATGTTATTTACCTTTTTTCTTTTTAAGACACATGCTTAGCATTTCAAAACTAATCACAGGAAAATCAACTCAGTTAAGATTCAGAAAGTAATACACCTAAATATGGAATTTGGCATATTTGTCTTGGTTTGCTGGTCTTATATATAACCAGTTCAGAACATTTAACCTTTGTTGGAAAATGAAAATAATCCATGATGAATTCCTGTGGCTTATATAGTACAGCTGCCTTTGTGACAGGAATGAGAGTGGTTCTCTTTTTCTCTTTCTCTATCTCCCCCTCTTAAAATATTTGTTTAAGTTTAAATCACTTCATTAAAAAACACTTTCTTTTTTAGAAGAAAATATGCTCTTGAGTACATTAGGGAAAACAAAGTGGGACATAAGTTATAATCAGCATTTTGGTTCTTGGAAATACTTCATTAATTCAGAACTAATAAACTGTAATTGATAGTGCTTACCTTTGGGTAGAGATAATTTTTAGCTTTCTCAAACTCTAATTAAAGCATTTGTCCCTATTTTTTCTAGATACAGAGAAAGGGATAACTTAATAGATTACTTTAACAATAATGTTAACATATTAATTTTAGAAATGCGACCTCTTATAAAGAGCTTTCTGACCATAGAGCACCTATAAGATGTGGATTTTTTTCACATAGGGCATATTGCCTAATCTTTTCAATCTTTCAGTTTATTTTCATTGCTTAAGCTTTTCAGTGTTCTTATCTGTAAAATGGAGGTAACGATTATTTCCTAAAGTCATTTTGAGGGAGGGACCTAGCATAATTCCTAGGAAATAGCAATTAAAAATTAGAAGCTTTTTCACTCCATACTCCCAATCTCACATATCTATTAGACACACACACAAGTGGGTATCAACTTATTTCTTTTAAAATATAAACAAAATGTGAATTGGCTTTTAAACACTGAATAAAACTAGTATTTCTAATTATTCATAAATGTGCCCATAGAAGAGATTGGTTGGAAAACATAGCACTCTAATTTAAAATATATTAATGATTGTAATGTAGTGTTCCAGATCAGAGGAAGTCCTCAAAAGCTGCTCACCCTGTGCGCAATACCTAGAATGCCTTTGTCTCTCTCATCTAGCCTTACTTTCAACTTCATATTCTAACCTGACAGATTCTAACCTATCTTTTGAAGATTCTCTCAGAAATCCTCTTCTCTGAGAAGCCTTCCCGGGCCCCCCTCCTTATTGCCAGCAGGCATGCCTCCTTCATACTTTGGTAGATTGCTGTTCTGATCACAGAATAAGCATTTCATATATGTGAATTCTTCAAGCAAACGTGAATGTATTCTGTATTTCGTATATGTGAATTCTTCAAGCAAACTTGAATGTATTCTGTCTCCAATTCTGCTATACCTTTGGTAGAACGAACTCTCTAATATTAAGATATGGTAGTTTAGTTCTGAATGCTAATATTAATGTATCATTCACACTAACTTTTTTGCTTTTGATTCTAAATATGTCTCCCAAAAAAGCATGCATCTATAACTATGCTTTAAATAAAATTACATTGGGATATTACATTGTCCCAAATTGTGGAAAGGATGAACTCATGTGAATTCAATACGTAAAGAGCTAAGAATGATTATAAAGTTTTTTTTTTTTTAAGATTTTATTTATATATTTGACAGAGAGAGAGATCACAAGTAGGCAGAGAGGCAGGGAGAGAGAGAGGGGGGAAAGCAGGCTTCCTGCTGAGCAGAGAGCCCAATGAGGGGCTTGATCCCAGGACCCTGAGACTGTGACCTGAGCGGAAGACAGAGGCTTTAACCCAATGAGCCACCCAGGCGCCCCAAGAATAATATATACAGTTTTATTTATATAATAATATATATAATATTTATATTATATATTATATATTTATATTATATTATAATATTTATGTATAATATTTGCATATAATATGCATTATATATGATATTTATATATAATAATATATACAGTGTTATTTCATAATGAACATAAATTTGGAATGAATAACCAATAAAATGTCCCAAAATGTGTTTATATATTGAGGAAGACATAGTTGGAGATTATTTTTGTTGTTGTACATAGTGGAAGTATGATTTAGGGCAGTTACTGTTTATTTTTGTATGTCTTGTTTGGTTAAAGAGATAGTAATAAAAATTTTAAACATGATAAAAGTTTTCCCAGACATTGTTGATATGTTACCCTGCTTGGAAACATCAACTAAAAAAAAAAAATGTTTATCTCCTTTTTTCCCATGATTTTATACTCCCAGCAGGATTAAGAATTTAATAAAGAAAAGCAATCTGTGATTATTGAATAGAATTATTATGATGGAATAAATTTAAAAATATTTTGGATTTTATATTCTGAAGTTATAAATTTGATCTCTTTTAGAGGAAATAAACTTCAGAGAAATATAGATTTAAAGGAAATTTAACCCAACACATTCCTTTTTTCTGTGTTTAAACATTCTTTTTCTCTTTTCTCTTCCTCTCTCTCCCCCTGTCCTCTCCCTTTCTCCATCCCCTCTTCTCTCTGTGGTTTCTCACTATACCTCAATTCAAAGAATAATTGGACCAAGGGGCCACTTCAGACCAAATTTATAAGGCTAATAATAGTGTCTTAAAGAGTCTTAACTTTTTGTTTTTTGAACTAAGAGGTAGTAGTGTTATAGCATAATTGCATGTGTGTGTGCATGTGTGCCTATTTTAAAAGGTTCCATTTATGTGAAATTTAAGATGGTGGCTTGGATATCCTTTTATATTGTAAAATATATGCTGAACAGACTTTCTTATATCTGTAGGGCAAGGAAATAATTATATTAATGATCTAAAAATGAAACTCACATACATTTTTATACCATAGTTCCCAGGGGAAATGAATTACGTGCTAACAGAAGTTAATATTTAATTGGCTAGGTACGAAAAGAGTATGGGAAATGCCTGCGAACGCATTGTTGTAGTGGCAAAAGTACAGAGAGTTCCATTGGCTCAGGGAAAACATCTGGTTCTCGAACTCCTGGACGCTACTCCACAGGCTCACAGGTAAATATTTGTTCGTTAAAATGAAATATCTCTTACTTGTATTCTGTCATGAGTTGCTGTCCTTCCTTGATCAGAAATAGTTTGTATCCCAAGTGTTTAACCCATCACATTTGTTGTTGTTCTCTCAGTGTCTCAAATAGGAATGATTATGACAAATAGTCCAAAAACTACATTGCAACAAAATTATGAAATTTGAGGTCTTGGTTTGCATAATAATTAATGATTTCAGATTATTCCTAGTTGAATGAATACAGAAAGTGACAAAAGGAATTGGGCATTTTACCCAAAAATTCGAAGAAAGTAGTATTTCATATATATGATTTTTAAGGGAATTACCTCTTATACCCGATGTAGTAACTCTCTATCACATACTGAAAATGAAACTTATACCTACATATAATGGACAATTATTAATAGTTGAATTTTATTTATTATTTCTATAACTGACTGAGTTACAGAGTTGCAAATGAGGGGGAACAGATGTACCAGTTTAGGTGGGTTGAGTTTTCTGAGTGTAGGACTCCTAAATTGGCCAATTAGAAATTTGAAGTCTCACGTAATTGTAGGGTATGCCCAGATGACATTTCTAGTGTGAGGCCTTTAGATTCCACACCTTTATTTTCAGACTGATAATCCTTACTTCTTTTTTGTAATAATCTTTTCCACAACTTTTTTTTTTTTTTATGACTATATTTATTTATTTATGTGACACAGAGAGAGAGAGAGCGCTCAAGCCAGAGTGAGACAGGGAGCACAAGCAGGGGCAGTGGGAGAAGGAGAAGCAGGCTTCCCATGGGTCAGGGAGACCGATGCGGGGCTCGATCCCAGGACCCTGGGATCATGACCTGAGCCGAAGGCAGACGCTTAACCGACTGAGCCACCAAGGCGCCCCTATAATCTTTTCCACAGCTTTTAAATTGAAATTTCTGAGATCTTGTATGTCCTCCAGCTTGATTAGTTTCTATATGCTTTTCACATAGCTGAGCTCATCAACCACCATCCCATAGTCATTTGACAAATGCCATTAGTGAAACTATACTATTTGGAAGTTTATGGATTATGTTACAACAAACTTGTGTAATATTTAGCAATACTGCTAAGCTAAAAGATAGGGCAATGCAAGTTAATAGAATAATCACAAGCCTGCTGTGTGGATAGCTCTTGGTTTGAATTCTAGCCTCGGCATGTACCAGCCGGGAAACAAAACAATTTACCTATATTGTTGACCCTCAGTTTTTTCACCTGTAAAGTGATGGTAATGATACTTATTTCTTATGTTGTTAGGAAGATTGAGATAATATACTTACACTGAAGACAAATTATAAGTACTCAGTAAATTGAAGCAGCCATCACTTAATAGTGTCATTATTACCGAATATAATTTCAGATATATATCTTAAAGCTGTATCATATTTTTTCTTCACTTTTATAGTTCTCATATTACAATTCTAGACTTCCAAAGAAAAACCCTTACATTGTTTTCTTATGGTTAATATAGTACCAATTCTGATTAACTATGAAAATCCAATCCTATGTAAAGTTAACAGTTACTTAAATCCGGTCTATTTAGGTCAAAATAATCAATGTGTTTCATATTAACTATGACCTTACATAGTCCAAAATACTCACTGATATTAAGGTAAAATTTTGGGATTGTGAATGCCTTTTCCAATCAGAGAACTTGTAAAATAACAATCTCTATATTCTTTATTTTTTACTAAGAAATATTGAATATCCTTTATATAAGAACAGCAGGCTTCTAAACTCTGGAGGTACAGTTCTTAAAAGACAACTTCCCCTGTGATCTGGAGCTTTCATTCTAAAGGTAGAAGACAGAAAATTTATCAGCAAGCCAACAGAAAATATCAAATTATGAAAGTTGGTAGAAATCTAAACGTAGTGATTTGATACAGAAGGCCAAGGTAGCTGGTTACCTGGATTAAGTGCTAGAAAAAGACTCTTTTGGGAATGAATGACAGGAAGGATATTCAGGAGAAGAGAATTCCAGGTGAGAGAACTGTAATGCAAAGCCCTTAAGATAAAGGAGGACTTGCAAACTCAGGAGTGGAAAGAGTGTCATTGGTTAAATTAGGTGATAGTGAATTGAAGAGGAAGTCGAAGGAGAAGGCTAGAGATGGATCAATAATGGTTTGTAAGAGCACGCAAATTCAGAGTTTACTTTGATTACTTTAGAAAGCCAATGGGATGATTTAGAAAAGGAAGTGGCCTCAGATCATCCATGTTCAATAAAGATCATGCGGCTTCCATGTAGACAGTGGAGGAGCGTGATTGGGAAGACTGACACGTGAAAATCCTCTCCACCAGTGGCTCCCCCATACCTACTTCCTGGTGCTAATAATCACTTATTAAACTTGGTCATAATCATAATCACACAAAGAGATATTCACAGACATGTGTAGGATTGGTTTGTGTTTATGTGTGTTTATAAAAACTATGAACTAAAGTATTTCCACTTCAACCTTTCTTTAACCTATTTTTTACTTGTTTTATTGACTCTGTAGATGTATTTACATTTGTCATATGATATTTGAAACATAAAACAATACATGTAACATCCATTAAGTTATGAAGTAGGGTAGTAAAACGAACACCTGTGAAGTGAACATCGAACTCACGAATTGGACATTTTCCATATATTTTTCCTTCCTGAAACCTCTCCCTAATCAATTCCTGTGCCTGCAACCAGAAAACTTCTGCTTTTCATTTCTTTGACACATTCTAATAGTTTCCCACCTCCAAAAAAGATGTTTACTATCACTTTGTTTTTTACTATCACTTTTTAAAATATTTTTTGAAGTGTTATATTATTGTATTTAGTCTTCTATGACTTCCTTTTTTTACCCCCACATCATCCCAGTTCATCCCATGAACATTTAAGGATTGACTCTGAGCTGCATAATGTATACTTTTTCTCTGCTGCAATATTTTTTCTTTTTCTCCTTTTTCTATTCAACTATTATTTGATATAGTTTAGTGAATTGTTAAGCTCCTAGATCAGGAGCCAGCTGAGTGGATTCAAATGTTGGTTTTGTCACTTATTAAGTCTGTGACATTGAATATGCTAATTAACTTCTGAACATCAGTTTTCTAATGAATAAGATTACTTGCCTCAAGGAGTTCTTGTGAGATTTCAGTGAGTGAATACATGAAAAATTACATAGTATAGAGCCTAGAACATAGAAAGAATTAATTGAAGTATTAAAATTTTACATGTAACATGCATGTTTTACACATAAAATATATATTTTATGTATACATACATATTTATCTTATACCAGGTATTATTTCAGTGTGTGATACATCAATAAACAAAAGAGACAAAATTTCTTTTTTTCTGGAGCCTCAAATTTAATACAGACATTAGATATTAAATACTGGATATTATATATAAATATAAGAAATAAATGCATTATAATTTTAAGTCTGGTTGTATAAGATAATAATGACTACGGGAGGAAAACAGCAGGGTTAGGTGGGTGGAACAGCAGAATGAGTTAGGTCTCTCTTTTTTTTTTTAAAGGTTTTATTTATTTATTTGACAGAGATCACAAGTAGGCAGAGAGGCAGGCAGAGAGAGAGGGAGAAGGAAGCAGGCTCCCTGCTGAGCAGAGAGCCCGATGTGGGACTCGATCCCAGGACCCTGAGATCGTGACCTGAGCCGAAGGCAGCAGCTTACTCTGAGCCACCCAGGTGCCCTGAGTTAGGTCTCTTTAAGGAGAAAATATTTCAGTAAAAATTTAAAGAGATGGAGTTATTCATACATGTATCTAGGGGGAAGAACACTTCAGGCAGAAGAAACAATTGTACCAAGCCTGAGGCAGAAATATGGTTGACTTGGAAAGGAGTGGCAAGAGAACCAGTGTGTCTAGCTCAAGTTGGGGAGACTAATAGAAGAGGAGGTAGGGGGAAGCTCATGTAAATGTCACCTAACAACAATCATAATTCCATCAAATCTGTTAAGATGTCACTTCTTCAGAGTAGTCTCACAGAATTCCTAGTCAAGGATATTTCCCCTCATTATGTGCACTTAAACTTTTTTTAAATTATGTAATATAACAAACATTAACCAAAGTACACAAAATACAGGTGCATGCACATTGATTCATTACCCCTCCCTGGGTCAAATATTAGAATGTTGGGAGGACCTTAGAAACCCTTTGAACCTTTCTCCATCATCCACCTCTAAAGTAACCGCCATCTTAAGTTTTAACAGTACATTTTGTTTGGCTTGTGTTTGATACTAATTCACATGAAATCACCCAGTACCTATTCTCTTCGATTTTCTTTCTTTCCTCAGACATCTGTGTTGCTGCAGGGGGCTATTTGCTTTTTTATTATTATTGTTATATATTGTTCTATATATCCATCCTACCGTTGACATCACTTGCGTTCATAGTTTTCGGTTATAATAATTAATGGTTCTATGGAGCTTTGTACGCATATCGTTTACTTTGGCATTTGTTTTTGTGATAATTTGTTGCATCTATCACTTAACTAATCTAATAACTCCATGAAGACAAAGATATTTTTTTGTCTTTTCTTTTTGTATCTCCTAGAGTAGCTTCTGACATGCAGTAGAGAGCATTTAATATTTTTAATTAATTCACTAGTTGATTGATTAATTAATTAAACAAATGTGAGAGAATTGTTTCCAGTATTTCAGTTTGAAGCTTTGAAGTATTTTTTGATAGAAACATTTCTCAAGTGCTCAGAATTTATAATTTCTTATTGTTTTAATTTTTTTAAAAATTTTAATCTCTTTTATTTTATTTCTGTATTTTAAATAGGCTCCACACCCACCGTGGGGCTTGAATTCATGACCAGGAGATCAGGAGTCACATGTTCTCCTCACTGAGAAGGCGCCCAGCCAGGAGCTCCTCTAATTCTTTTATTAGTTTTATTCTGTGTGTGTGAGGGAGTGTGTCTCTGTGAATAGTTGCTAACCTAAAAAAACAATATAGACAATATTTCTGAAGAATAAACATGCCCCAAGATTTAGAAAACAAATTGCCTAGTATTTTAATATTAAATACTCCTATTATTGAGGGAGTTCAAATATATTTGGAACATAATCCATTTGTGAGCTTGGTTTTGCCAGTACCATTACTAGTAGTAATAGTTCTTAAAATTATCTCATCCTTGGAAAAGCTGAAGATAGGTTGTTTTCCTCCTCACAGGATTCTTAATACTTTTTTGTTCCCTAACACAATAAAATGGCAGAACTATAAGCCAGAAAAAAAAAAAAATCTCCTTCTCCCAAATGGAAAAATATTATATACCACTTTCTTCAGTTATCTCTTAGGAAACTGTGAGAATATAAATAATGATGTAAGAATTTTTGGTTCTTGATAAAACTACCTACTGTGAAGAAATGAATAAGGGTGAATGGTCTTCCTTTATTTCCTTCAAAAGAAAGAAAAGTCAAAATCTTACGTAACCTGTAAAATTACACTGGTCTCACAAAATATATGGAAGATGTTAAGTTTAGTAGCATTTTAATAATACTCTGTTCTTTTCTTACCAAACTTTTTCTTTTTGGCAAGTTTTTGAATTCTTAAAGTAAATCTTTTGTTAATAAAACTGACAATTTAATACATATTTAAATACCCCATTCTCATAAAAGTTACAATGAAAACAATTTGTTTCACTTTGGCAACTAAAATTATTAAACTCTAACCATCTAGAGTACACGTCTATATATCTTCAACATGTTTAAATTGGTATAGTACATTACATTTATTGCTTTTTCATAGTTACAGTTATTTTTGGTATAAGCATTTAGGAATACACTTAATGAGAACCAATTATTATCACTAATTTAGTTTTAGATGTTCTCGTGCTACTGTACTGCAGGCATGTAGAAGTTATATAGTTGCCAGATGCCAGAAACAAAGGTTTCATATAACTATGACAGAAAGAGAAAGAATGATTTGTGTGAAAATTTACTGCCTGGTGAGTTCATTTCCCTTTTTCCCTTTTCCCCATCCAGAGCCGAATTCGTAGAATGTGGAATGACACGGTCCGAAAGCAGTCAGAGTCTTCCTTCATTACTGGAGATATAAACAGTTCAGCGTCACTCAACAGAGGTAATTAGAAATGATTTTTCATATTTATTACTTTGGTGATTAAGAACTTCTTAAATGCATTGCTTTTTTTGCAACTTCTGGACCTTGTTCCATGTGATAGGAATATCATAAGGTTATAAAACTTGGTTGACTGTAGCAATGTGTTCCATTATTCATAAGCCTTTTTTTTTTTTCCAATTCCGAGTTTTCAGGAAATCTTTTCTGAAAAAAGTTAGAAAACGAGAACTTTCTTTTTCTAGTCATCTGCCACTGTAATAAACTGGTGAGCTGTCAGGCCTCATTGGAAGCAGTGAAAATGGGCAATTACGTGGTTATATAGTCTGCTAAGTATCATAGAGTTGCACATTGTCCCAGGCATAGAGCAATTTCGTAGTCTTTGTGAAAGTAAAAATATACTGTCTAATACGTACTTGAGGCACCCTGTATATTTGGGGTAAAAATCACATCTAATCTTAGTATCTACAAAACTTATCCAGCATATTTAAAGATCTAGGAGGAAAAAGGATATATATACATATATATCATGATTTTTGTGTGATTATGTTTCTGGTTATCATGTTCCCAGGGCATCGTTTCAATTTTTAAAATGAAGTTCCTTTAATCTACTGTTTTGTTTGTGGTTAATTTTTTTGTTTTTTTAATTCTTCTGTTTCTCTTTCTCCTTCCTACCCTCCACTTCCCTCCCTCTTTTTTAGTGTATGTGTGTGGGGTGTTGAGGGGGGAGTGGGGAAATTAGAATTAGGTTGATTACAGTAAAAATGGGTAGATGCTATATTTGTATAGAGTTAGGGTACCCTAGAGATGTTGCTGAGGAATACTTACGATACCATTTTATCTGTGAAGATGATGTTTGCATGAGCTTATTCCAATCACACTGTCCTAAAAAAAATATTTTTGATGCATATATTCAGTAGTGATTTTTATGATCAACATTGTTTTTTTTCCTATCCCCAAACTAAGATTATTAGTTCCACTTAAACCTGTTTCTGTCAGCTTTTTGTTACATTAAATACTACTTAAAACAAATAATTTAACAATCACAGCTTATGATTCAGAAAAATTCAGGTGCTGGTGCTGTTAATTACTTTTACTCAAGTGATTTGCATCTTATTTACATAAAACAAATTAGGACAGATAGTGTCCAAGCTGAATTTGATATAGGGACCCATGTTATATATAATCTTAATTGATTTTCATGTTATTTGGGACAGTGATATAATAACTATAACCTAGTGATAATATTAAATTTCCTATATCACTTTTGCCCAATATAGGAACAGTGAGTGCAAATATTCCTCCAAATATGAAGAAAATACTTCAAAACACCCACATTTTTATATTTTGTTTCAGTATCAGTCTTATTATTTTCTAGATTTTTATTTACATATGGCCATTGAAATATCCTTCTCTTTTTCAAGTTTAGTTTGAATGGTTAGTCTGTGAAAATTTTTTTAAATATGAATACTCTAACTTTGGACATACTTTCCTAGTCATTGAGAACGAATTACTTAAAAATGCCTCCAAAGTTCAGGAACTTGTTTGCTTTCATAGTGACAGATTTTGTTTATTGTCTAATCCCACAGATGGAAAGTTTACAGTATGTTCCTAGATAGAAAACTACCCTTATGAATAAGATTTATTATTAGGAGTATATCGTACCTAATAAACACAGCAACCATAGAACAATTGTTGCTTAAAGAAAAGATGAGATCATGTGATTTTAATGATGCACTGTTTATTAGCCTACTGTGAAGATAGTTAAAATATGTAAAATTATTATTCCTTAAAACATGTAAAATTATTATGTTGTCTAGCATTATGATGTAAATTTATGTGAAGATTGTAAGGTATGTGATTTTACTAAAAATTGTTTTAAATGGACACATTTTTGTGACCTTGATTTTGAGGTCAATCACATGTAACATCTCAGTGCCCTTTTTAGTTCCTTCTCAAGAATTTCATCAACTTAGAATATGTGATATGTGGATGACTGGTCAATTTGAAATATATTTAAAGAAAATAATAATATTTATATTGACTGATCATCTGTTTAAATCTGGTTTTCAAGCCTTTAGTTTTGAAAGTATTTCTTAAAGTTACTCTTGAAGAAGGGTATAAAATTTCTTGACATCCAATAAGTTACTCTAATGTCGACTTTGGGGAGGGGGTTAAATTAAATTTGTGATTTGAAGTGTGTCCAGCAGTGATCTTTTCCTTTAGGATAGGGATTCTTCCTTTCTCTCAGTGACTTTAATGGTGGTAGACATCACAGTGATCTTCTTGATTTCCCATATTAATTCCCTGTTCCCCAAGTCAGAAACTCCTCATTTTATTCTCATCTCATTATTTTTTATCTCAGATGTGTGGAGTACTTTAAAAATTTATTTCTTCATATTATATCTCTGAAGATAGTCTTTAACCTCCTTCTTTAATCTTGTCTTATTTCCCAGGGTCCTATCTTCCCTGCATTCAGGCGTGTGTATCATATTTAGGTAGGTGAAATCCAAGATTCACCTTTCCGGATAAACACTTCAGTCACCTTGGCAACATAATTATTCACCTCTGTTTAGTCGAAAGACTATATTCCCTATTATTAAACTAAAAATTCTAGGCACTACATCTTTTCATCTTCATATATTCTAACTTCCCATTCATTCTCAGTTTCTCACAGCTAGCAATTTTTTTGTTCATTTAAACCCCATTTTCCTTTCTCTCTAAGATCTATTAAATCTCTTATTTTTGTCTTTAGTTTTGGCCTTCAAAAACTATAAGAAGTTGTCTAAAAATTAGTCTTAAGTCTACTTTAGGTTTTCTTTCCTACTCATACCACTGCTTAGTTCATCAAAAGAATAATTATTTTACAATTTTGTATGTCTTAACATCTATTCTTCCAAACAAAAATTCATCATTCTCATCTTTGGGATCCATTAAGAAGAAAGCATCTACCATACAGTACAGAACTCCTTCTCAATGGTTTTTATTTTTTCAAACCATCTTTAATATTCTATCCTAGAACCAACTTGTTACAACCTACGTATCAGATTACCTATCTAGATTTCCCGCTGTGGCAAACTTGATTACTGTTGGGATTTTATTCCTTGGAATCACGCAAAACCTTGGAAGATTTATGGATAATTATTAATTCGTGTAATCATTCTTATATATTCTCTTTGGGATTTTGTTATTTGGTCACCTCATCTCTTTAAAATGTTCCATTACACATTCCATTCCATTTGTCCTTTGAATATCTATATTCATGAAGATGTTTTCCAAATGTTCCCTATACATTGTAAGATAATTTTTCCCCTTCTGACTTATTTACTACAACTCTACTCACTCAAGTAAATTAAGAATTCTTTGAGGCCAGTACCCGAGGACTATGATCACGTTAACTTCCCTGATGCCACTTTCATAACCAGAAGGAGATTTTCAAGAGCATTAATGTGATAGTCAATTATAGGAAGTTATAAGAAGGATTAACTCTTATCCAAACTCAAGTTTTTACAAACCCCACAGTAGGGTTTATTCATTGGCTCATTTAAATATTTACTATTTGCTCATAACTTGAAGTCAGTCCTCAATTCCCCCAAGCTTCTCCCAGACTTTTAGAAACTTTACCCAAATTTCTAGTAGCTCTAACTTCCCAGTAGTGGTAGGAACAATTTGCAACTAACATAATCTTTACCGCTCTTATCTCCAGCTCACAACCTCTACTGCCCAAACCTCATCCTGAACAATTTAGATTGACGATGGCTCTAAAACTTGCATTTGATCCCGAAGTGAAGCATTTGCTGAGAAATTTTTCTGGTAGTTCAGTTAATGGTTAAACATTTCTGTTCCTTTTATAGATCTATATAGAAATCGGGATATTTTCTGAAATTGGATTTTATTAGGCTTTATCTCATCGTGACTAATGTAAATGCATTGCTCATTTTCTTTTTATTTAATTAGCTGAATTGACACCAGAAATTTCAGTTTAAAATCAAGTTTTGCTAGGTAGCTACTGCCAATACGATGTATGAATTATGAAAATTGTTCCACCCAACCCCTCCCCAACTGTAGCGTCATTACAAAAATGTGACCCATCTTAGCAGCAGAATTAGCAAAAAGGCATTTCTTCTTCTAAAACAATAGCTTGGCTAGCGTAATGGATTTTTATCTATCTCCCATTCTCCGTCTCATCAACCTCCCACAGAAGTTAATGAGATTTACATTTTTATACAAGGGGATCTGACCAGTAAAGCTATATTTATTTAAGCCAAATCTAAGTGTTGTGTGCATGAAGACTGTATCTTCTGTAGATGTGCAGTCATATTCATTAAAGTGGATGGGTTCTCCTTTCAAGGTTCACATTCGTATTAGTCTGCACATGCATTCTCCGTAAATTTATGTAATCAGTACAATTATGATGACTTATGGCAATCTTTTCATAATTTTAAGGGTAAATCTTGGTTCTCACTGGCACAATAATGTACCAAAAGATGGCCTCCCCCATTAGGAACATTGTTGATAAAAAGGGGAAAGGCATCACCAAATAAACTTTGCAAATTGGTGATTTACTCATAGTAGTTTTGAGAATGGAATTTTAACTCTGTGACTTTTGGTAAGTTTTCTATATGCTCAGTGTATATGCAATGGGGATACAGAGAGCACTTCACAGGGACCTTGAGAGGACTGATTGAGTTTATATATGTTAATTCCTTACTACAGTGCCTGCAAATGATACGTCCTCTTATCATTATTTTGCTCAAAAGTTACCTTACATCTTCTAACAAATGAAAACTGATCCTTGCCAGTGCTCTCAGATAATTAGATATTAAAATTCATCATTTACTACTGAAGGTTTTCTTTCTTTTTTATTTTCTAGTAATAGGTGGGAGGAATAAAGTAGTTACCTGAATGCCAAGTAAAAGAAAAAATAATTTACCTAAAATGCTGCTACCCTTGAGGCTAACAAAAAGAGATAAACTAATAAAACTGAATTGTCTCTTCTAAATTAG